CTTAGTAAGCTGGTCACTTTGACTGCATTTTACTTACTAGCATGATTGGTTGTTTTTTGTTGACAGTGATTGAACTGCTTTGAGTTTAAAGCTTTTTTTTTTACTACTTTTTAAGTAGCAGTGTATGCACTGTAGCGGATTCCTCACAGTTTATCATACGAAAGTTGAACCTAGGTAAAATGTGAAAATTAATGCCAAAAATGATATCTGTAAAATATCAAGAAGAGAATTGTGAACATAAACCGTAGTACATCTTGATGGGCATATATATTTATATATTGCATAGCCTTGAAAACCTGAAATAATCATGTTTCTGTTTCATTCTGTACAATAAGTGATAAGAACTATTTCATCTCCTTAACTTTTATAAGTAAAAAGATTTACATGGATGAACTTTGAACTTTATATGTTTTGTAGCAACAGAGTTTTCTTTCAGGGCACTAACAGTTTCACTTGGTACTTACCAATTAGCTGACTCCACAATCTAGATAAGAAGAAAGACTGATTCATTTTGTCACTTCAATTCCTTTGATTAAAAAAACGAGTATATATTGATACTAATTACTTAGTGGTGACCAGTAAAAGGATTTAGAATGCACATTTTGGCCTATTTAGAGCTCACCAGGTGGGTGTGCCGACGCCTTAATGAGTTATGTCGCTCTCTCACAGTATATTTATCAACTGAAAACTACCAGTATTAACAAATAACAAGTGACTTCCGTTGTTTAAAAGGTGGGTTTCGTGACTGAATAACCTAGTGCGTAACTCTGTGGCCCTCGAAGCGATGGGTGCTGCGTCGGAGTTTCATTGAAGACAACATCATCCCCTCGGATGTAATGTGCATTAGCTTTTAGCGAATATCGGACGAGAACCGATGTTCCCAAAGTGATATGGCTAGGGATAGCTAGGCCAAAACTTGCCAACAGTCAATGAATTCCCTGGCTGTTTGTCTAAGCCTTATGGGCAAATGTAGACTGCGTGGTTCCGGTCCCCTAGACAAAAGGAATCAGTGATTGAGGACACTTGGTGACATGGTTGACAATCACTCACAATGATGCAGATGTATTCACGCCTTGACATCTTCTAAAGCTTGAATGTTCACACTAATCGTTATCTTCAAATTATTTATTCTGTCACATAACTTTGTCTCATTTGATATTGGTCTTTTTCAATCCACGTGTTCTCTGTTTACTGCTGTGAAGAGTGAGAACTTGAGGTAATGCATGTGTGTGAGGTTGTACGTTGATTTTTTCAGTCAGTCAGTTCTACTGCACAAACTTCCACGTGGTTAATGGGCCTATTTCGATTCCAATTAGTTCTTCACAGTGGTGCGGTTCTGCTGCATTTGACAAAGTATAATAATCAGTAGACAGTTGAGAAAAAAGCTTAGTCAGTTCGATATAGGTCCTCAGTTGTTTATTACAAAAGGGCTAAATATTTTATATACTTCCGTCACTATCTAGAAGGGTTAATACAAATAAATATTCATGAGAGTGTGATGGAGAAAGATGCAATCTGACCTTCTAACAAATGATCATAAAGTATTTATGATGTAGCAGTAAACGCTCCATACTGCCACGCTTAAATCTTAGTGTCTGTTATGAATCATTTTACCTTATTGTTTAGTCATGTAGGAATGACTGAAAGAAAAAACTAAGAGGTTAGTGTAAATCCAACTTGGCAGTGTCATCTTTGAAAAAAAGGATATGGTGAATGGAACTGAGCTACCTAAATCGATATTAAGTTCGAAATCTACATTGGGAAAAAAACCAAATTACAGAAATCCTTACAATTGAACAATACAAAAGAAACTACAGCTAGAGGGATTATAAATTATTTAGTTCAAAGGTTATGGACGTGTGATGCATAGAAACATAATTAATAATGCAGACAGTTAGTCAGACAGGCAGTCATTCATCTGTTCATTCATTATCCATATAAGACTTGAAAACGCTACCCAGCTCTCTAAGTTTACATGATTTAAATCACCACACAAGCCAAAAAGATGAAGTAGAGAGAAATTAGGAAAGATCTAGTCAAAATATTGAAGAAAGTCATGAGAAGAGAAGACAAAATGATAAAAAGTAACAAAATGTGATATGATGATTCAAAAGATAATGTATCGATATATCTGTGCCAACGAGATTGTTTCTTAGCTACATCATTAAGAGTCAGTAATCAGTGTCTCCTCCTGGATTCAAGATGACGTTCGGAACAGGCTGACTGGCTGGCTTCAAGAAAAACAAATCATATGTGGATCAAATGTCAACGCTACACTACGCATCACCATAGAACAGAGCATAGAATGGCAGTCAACTCAACTCAACTCAACCTCAGCATCGACAGACAAGTAGTTTAGCAACTGCTTCAATACTACACTTCTAGTGATACAAACCTTTATCAACCTCATTCCACAACAGCTATATGCGACATGCAGAGTGATTCACAATGGAAAGCTCAGTGATGCCTTTGAAGTGAAGACAGGAGTAGGACAAGACAAAGTTGCCGCCTACTATCACTGATCATCTTCCTGATTGTAGTTGACTAGACTGTACTGGAGTGGACCATACAAGAAACTGTGAGGAGCGAGAAGATGGACATACTCTGTTTGACAAATGAAAAGACCCCAGAAGGAGATTTGGATTTCACCGATGATGATTTTTGTCTAATGTCTTATGTCACACAAAGTCGAAGATCTAAAGGCAAAAACTAACATGTTGGCAGAAGAGGTGAGGTGAGGTGAGGCGAGGCAGTGAAGGAAGATGTGATTTCCTTCAGGTGAACGTAGGGAAGACAGATGTGATGAGAATACTCAACCAAAAACAGCAACAACAACAGCAACAAGCACCAATCATTGTCAGTGGGAGAAATGTAAAGGAAGTTGTCTCTTCCACCTACCAACCCACCTACCTAGATAGCATCGTTTCCACCACAGGCGACAGCGGTGGCACAGATGAGAATGTCAGAGGCAGGATCGGAAAGACAGCAGGACAAGATAGGCCTTCCTTCATTGATCTGAAATCAGTGTGGAGATCTGCTGCATCGCACAGCACGGCATGGCACGGCACTGCACTGCACTTCACTTCACTTCACTTTACTGCACTGCAATGCAATGCAATGCACTCGGCAGAAAGTGTGAACAACATCCTCATTTTCGACAGAAATATCAAGTTCAGGTCAGTGCTTCTATGTGATGGTTGAGAGAGTTTTCGCGTTACGTAAAGCATTTCCAACAAACTGCACACATACATCACATCAACAGCTGCAGCCTACACTCACTTGTTACTGAAGATGGAGATCAGATGGATGGCCAGAGTAATAAGAATAAGCAACAAGCAACTCTGGCTGGCTGGTGACAAGCCAACTAGCAACCTATCTCCAAATAAATATGCAGGCGAAAGTGGAGATGGATTGTATTGTATTGGACATACACTGAGAAGACTGTTTGGAGATATCGGGTGTCATGCTAGGCCGTTGAGTGGAAGCCAAATGGGGGACGATGATTTGGGCATCGGAGGGTGACATGTATGAGATGGTGTGTGAGTAAGAAATGAAAGCTTGTGGGCAGTTGTGGAGCCAGGTTATGAAGACTGAAGGGAAGAGAGTTAAATGGCGACGTGCGGTTTTTCGGGAATGCTTTACGTAACGTGCTAAGTCTCTCAACCATCACATAGGAGCACTGACTGACTTGACTGACATTAGTGTTGAAAATCGGCATCTTGTTCAGGCTTTCTGCTGAGCGCACTGCATTGCATTGCAGTAGATCTCCACACTGATTTCGGATTAATGAGGGAAGGTTTATCTTGTCTCGACATCCTCAACTGTGCCGTCGCCTGTAGTTGAAAAGATGCTGTTTAGGTCGATAGGTGGAAGAGATAACTCCTTTTTGATTTCTCCCACTGACGGTGATTGTTGTTTGTTGTTTCGTCTATGCTTTGAAGTTTCTATAGCTATCGGATCGATTTCGCTACGCAAAATCGGCTGCCACACACCCAACCTTCCCTCTTTTTCAAGGCTTAGGACCGACCAGTAAACTAGTAAGTTAGGCGAGGTTGACTTATTTGTTAGTGTACTCAAATTCATCCTGTAGGTTACTGGTTTGAATACCGACTTATGAAGAGAGATTTAAATATCCTGGAGCTATCAGTAACACATATACAGCAGGTATGTTTCATGGCTCAGCATTCATGGGTTTAAATTAGTGCTTTGACATGTACTGTGCGTGCCGAACCACCGCCTACCTCAAAGTGCCGTACCAGAGAAAGCTAGATTAGGCTGAGAAAGGGTTCAAGGTGGCCAGACCAAGACCTTGCACCAGTCAACTAAGTCCCTGACTATTGGTCTGAGCCTTGTGGGGAAGTGTAGACTACGCGATTCGGCTCTCCCAAACAATAGGAGTGAGTGATCGAGGACAACTGGTGACAAGGCTGAAAATCACTCACAATGACTAAGATATATTCACTCCTTTACATCTTCTAAAGCTTGATTGTTCACACTAACCGTTATCTTCAGATTATTTATTCTCTCACACAACGTTGTCTACTCTTCTATTAGTCTTGTTCTATCCACGCGTTCTTAGTATACTGCGGTGAACAGTAGAAACTTGAGCTGAAGCACCTGTGTGTGAGGTTTTACGTTGGCTTTATCAGTCAATCAGTGAGTCGGTCGCTATCGCTTCAAAGATCGTATGAATTTTCCAGATTAAGCGTACTACCTAGAAGAAATTAATTAACATCTTCATAATATGTTGTACGATATTATTGGGTGTTGATGGCATTTAAAGTTTGTTCTTGCATACGATAAGTAACTTTTTTCCCCTTTAAACTTATAGCTGGTGAATCGTAATATGAACAGAAATCAAGTTCCTCAGTCTGAAGAATTGTGGTCAGATTATTCCCCATCTATAGTGTCAGCCAAACCGTTTAACAATCAAACTGAAACACTCAATTCAAAACTATGCATCACACAATGCATATCCTTATGAGGAGAAAGATGAAGAGATGGAAAGTAACATCAGAAGATCATCATGTTACACACAGTTGCCTGCTGTGACAGCTACACGAGGGGATCAACAATCACTGGTTCCAAATCATAGTCCATTATCAAATATAGGTCTTCAAACACGATCTAGTGTTACTTCAACTCTTGCTGTTACATCTGGCCTATCTGGAATAGCTGGTATAGCTGCTGCAGCTGCAAGTCAACAAGGAAAACCACTTAATTTAGCTGCACTTACATTAGCTGCTCAATCTGCTGCAACAAAAAAGCGAGCAGGTGCTAGAGCACAAGCTGCTAATACAAGACCAGAGCGTACATTATTTTGTTTGACGCTTAGAAATCCTTTAAGGAAATTATGTATAAAAATTGGAGAATGGAAGTATCCTTTATATAAACGTTTATTTTATTACTTTGAAGGCTTAATCAAGTTTTATTGGGTGTCTATATACGCTTATTGAATAAACACTAGATGCAAAATCTGTTTATTAATTGTTTACTTCTTGATTACTGTGTCGAATTAGTATATTGTCTCCGAATAATTGAATAAGAAACTCTTATTTTTTCACTTGTTTAACTAATCTCAATGCTTGACCTAGTTGATTGTCCAATCTTCCGGTATTTCTCCTATTCACCAGTTTATGAGGTGATGAATATGCAAATTTATAGTTTGCTTTAATGAACTCAGTGATAACTCAATGAACTTTACTTCTCTAAACACCTATGATCAAATTTCGGCAACATCATAAATCAAGGTTATGTTATAATCTGTTTACCACGTACCTACTTTTGTACTACTCTTGTAAAACTTTAGATTGAAATACACCATATCTAACTATTATGTGACGAACTGCTTTGTGATTGCTTGTTCACTTTGACTACTGTGTCATTGACTGCATTGATTTTCTTGTTAACTGTTCTTCTACTTCGCCTCTGACTTTTCTGTTATTCACCTCCTTTCTTGATGGTCGATAGATTGAGTCTATGTCTATGCATCTATTGAATGGTGACTGATCTGAATGGCAAGCTTCTACGAAATCTCTATCTTTCTTCGTAATTTCCCTCTGCATCCAATATTTCTGTATTGTCAAAATTGAATTCGTATTCATAATTATCCACATGCATAGAAACGAATAATGAAATGTCGTGATGCAGCGAATAATTTCAGAAGCAGAGATGCATAGAACAGAAGCCATCATCCTACCTGTGATCAAACCAAACATTTGAATTCACTATGTGGACGATACTCAAGTCATCATTAAAAAAAAACACAATGATTTTAAAAACACTCACAGTTTGATCAACAACGTTTTCAATTACATCAAATTCACAACTGAGAAGGAGTCATATAACCAACCACCATTCCCGGATGCATTAGTCAGTAGAACAAATGCCGGAAAACTCGAAACTCAAGTGTACACGAAGCCAACACATACTGATCAAATCCTCAACTCCAGTGGCAACAACTCAACAAGACACAAAATCAGTTGCCTACAGACTGCATTCAAAAGAGCGAGAACACACTACAGTACAACAACTTCACAGAGAAACAAGGAAATTTACTTCACGTCCATGCTAAATAAGAGTGGCTACCCACGAAACTTCATCAGAAGATGCCGATCCCCCACAACATCAACTACAAAGTCATCCACAGAAATCAATTAACACATCATCCTACCATACATAAAGAATATGTGAGAAATCACGACAAGATTACTGAGACCACATGGAATTGGTGTGGCGACTCACTAACCAACAAATTCCCTCTCAACACTATTATGCAGACCAAAGGATGCAACAAGCAAAGAATACGAATCGAATATCATTTACATCATCAACTGCAATCACTGTAGTCGACACTCAGTTGGACAGAGTGATCGGCCTCTTCGCCTTCATCTACATCAACACCAATTGCCTATTGAACGTCACACACGACATTTCATCACGCATCGTTCAGTCCACATGGATAACAACTGTGGACATGAATTCATGTAGAAATCTTGGATGAGAGAGGAAACATAAAGAATATGAGGTAATTCCTGGAAGTTTGGCATTCAGGTCAGTTAGTCAGTTAGTCAGCAATGAACAGATGTGTAGACATGGACTCAATCTGTCAAGCAACAAGAAAAGTGGTAGACAGCTGAAAGGTCAGATGTGAAGTGGAGGATCAGCCAATACGAAAATCAATTCAGTCAATGAAAGAGTAGTGAAAGTGAACAAGTAATCAGAAACCAGTTTGTCATGGCACGCTACTGAATTGCTCACGGAGAGGTATTGACAGCTGACTTTATCCTGGAGTAAATGGTGATGACGTTATTTAGCAAGAGGATGAAAGCTCCATGACTAAACAATTCAGCTCATAGTAAATACTACCACCAAATGCATCATAATATCTAAATGGTATCACATGTATTGTAGTTCGATCTAATCCAACCTTTATCTTGTTTATCTGTGTGTTGAAATTCAACCACCTGCCAAGCAAATGAGGCGTATCATGATTGGAAAGGCGACTGAATTGAGCAGTATACTCAATTGCTTCAGTGGATTCATTAGTATCATAAAAAACAAAAACATAAAAAAAGACTTTCGAGGGAGTTGTTAAGTTTTGGAAATATTTCAAGTTGTTGTTTATCAGAGACATCATTTGGGGGAACAGAGGAAACCTGGGAGCACTGAACAGCTGTTTCGTCCTAGTGTGGGACTAGAACTGGTGCTCATTGGTGACCAGCTTCGAGAGGTATTCCCGAAGTTCCAGTGAGAAGTCGTGACCCGTGGGGGAAAAGCCTGATGGTCGTGGGGATAGTTACTCAACGATGACATTGGGTGGCGGTTGAGCTATATCATGAGTTAACAGGAGTTGGAAATATGGAGTATTGGATTCCGACCCAGTGGCTGAATGGTGACGTGCTGGCTACGGAACCTGAAGGTCACGGGTTCGAGCCCTGGGTGTGTGGGGTCGTGGGTGCGCACTGCTGAGGAGTCCTATACTGGGAAGAAACAGTTGTCCAGTGCTCTCAGGTTCCTTTATTCCTCCAACTGATGTCAGTCTACGATGAATAACACCTTGAAATAATAGACTTTCATTAAAGTTCCTCAGTTATAAAAAATATCGAATTTCTCCCTTTATTTTAGAATTATTATTAACTGTCTGAGTAGTTTTTTACTAAATAGGAGTAAGTTGAAATTATGATTATTCAAATAATAGCTACAAAATAATTCATCTTAAAAAATTCAATATCAATGAAATTGTATATTACTATGCAGTGTTATTTCAAGCACACTGAAATCATCTAGAAGATGGAGAGTATGAGAAATTTTGTGTTTTTTTTCAGTAACTCTGTTGTGATCAATGGATCTCAGGTGATTAATTTGTATACAGTTCCTTTCAGAATAATATAAATAGTTATCATTAACTGAGAATTGAATTGTTTCTTAGGATTCATTCAGTATGTTGATCATTGAACCTATGATAAATACTACAATAGCTTTAAATTGACAACTGAATACAACATACTCGAGTAGAATGTTTTTCCTTAGCACTAGTGAGAGTTTATTATATGGCTTGTATCCTTAATTCCAACTTTTTTTTAAAAAAAATAGACCATTTGAATATCTTATTCTTCTTACAATCATGGCTAACTGTTGTGCACTTGGTGCTATAACTCCATATCCCGATGGAGATTCAAATACACTTAATCATATACTAGTGAGTGTCTCAATGTATAGTAAAATATGTTTGTTTTATTTTATAGTTGTTAATACTCTTTTCGCAATTTACTTGGTGTTGGATAGGAGTGGAATCTATGATGCATTGTTTCTTACCATTTAGGAGTTACCATTTGAATGTCATCATCATCCTCATTTTCATCATGAAGATCAACATAAAACCAGGCATTACTACATAATGGGTCCAGGTTGCCACACCTCACATATCAACACATCAAGTAATGAAGCAATAAAATGGTATATGAAAAAGGGAAGAAAAATCTATCAGAAGAAGTAGAAGTAGAAAGTAGTAAAATAGAAGAAGGACAAATGAAAAGATGATGAGGTCAAGTATAACAGTTAAGATCAGGATAATATATATATACATCTATGCCACTGATAATGGTTCTAAGGCATATCACCTAGAGTTTCCAACCACTTGTTCCTCTTGACCCGCAGACCCCAATAGGCTGGTTTGCATTGCCGTACCCTAAGTCATCGAAGAATTCATCTGGATGTACCTCCACCCCAGTGACTGATAGTATTCCCATTGAAGTTAGAACTTGGCACCCATCGGTTCGAATACCAAAACATAATCTACTAGGCACGACAGCTATCTCTTATACAACGGGGATTATACTTATAATTATTTTTTGATACTTGTAATTGCACGTTGTTATTCTACGCTGAACCGATCGACCTACATTGGCATATGGTCTCCTACGTAGCTGCAGGGATATAATCGTAAGGTTCATTATCCTTATAATTATAACATAATTACAATAGGACGAAAGATCACAGTACTTTTCACCATCAAGTAAATTGTAACACTTAGTATCCAGGCCCTATCGAAGCATTCACACTTATTATTATATAGCTTTTCCCTTGGGTTCCTAGTGGAACATACAACTTCAGTAGCACGCATCCATTGCACCATGGTGTTCTCTACAGTCTTTACAAACTGGCTCCACAACTGCCCACAAGCTTTCATTTCTTACTCACACACCATCTCATACATGTCACCCTCCGATGCCCAAATCATCGTCCCCCATTTGGCTTCCACTCAACGGCCTAGCATGACACCCGATATCTCCAAACAGTCTTCTCAGTGTATGTCCAATACAATACAATCCATCTCCACTTTCGCCTGCATATTTATTTGGAGATAGGTTGCTAGTTGGCTTGTCACCAGCCAGCCAGAGTTGCTTGTTGCTTATTCTTATTACTCTGGCCATCCATCTGATCTCCATCTTCAGTAACAAGTGAGTGTAGGCTGCAGCTGTTGATGTGATGTATGTGTGCAGTTTGTTGGAAATGCTTTACGTAACGCGAAAACTCTCTCAACCATCACATAGAAGCACTGACCTGAACTTGATATTTCTGTCGAAAATGAGGATGTTGTTCACACTTTCTGCCGAGTGCATTGCATTGCATTGCAGTGCAGTAAAGTGCAGTGAAGTGAAGTGAAGTGAAGTGCAGTGCCGTGCCGTGCCATGCCGTGCTGTGCGATGCAGCAGATCTCCACACTGATTTCAGATCAATGAAGGAAGGCGTATCTTGTCCTGCTGTCTTTTCGATCCTGGCTCTGACATTCTCATCTGTGCCACCGCTGTCGCCTGTGGTGGAAACGATGATATCTAGGTAGGTGGGTAGGTAGGTGGAAGAGACAACTTCCTTTACATTTCTCCCACTGACAATGATTGGTGCTTGTTGCTGTTGTTGTTGCTGTTTTTGGTTGAGTATTCTCATCACATCTGTCTTCCCTACGTTCACCTGAAGGAAGTCACATCTTCCTTCACTGCCTCGCCTCACCTCACCTCACCTCTTCTGCCAACATGTTAGTTTTTGCCTTTAGATCTTCGACTTTGTGTGACATAAGACACTAGACATAAATCATCATCGGTGAAATCCAAATCTCCTTCTGGGGTCTTTTCATTTGTCAAACAGAGTATGTCCATCTTCTCGCTCCTCACAGTTTCTTGCATGATCCTCATAGTAGCCCATATACCTACAAAGGTCTTTCTATTCGATCTATTATAAAACCGGCAAATTGAAAGTGTCAGTGAATATGAATAAATTCATTGTTTTTTATCATATATAGAGTTTATTGCAATTGATAATACTAGTATTTGTGATTCGATGAAAGCTATCTTGACGATATGATAACTACCTCTAACAGGTTAAATGTTGAAGTGTCAATTTTTATTAGGTCATCTTTGTTTTAACGGGTCTGAACATGGTAAGTACAACGCTTATTATCATCTTATTTAAGAGTTTCTACATGTAACTACGAATTTCTTTGTGTCTGATTGAATGATCTCAATAATTTGAAATTCTTGACTTCAATGGGTTTCAAAATAATTTGAAATCTAGTTAAAACTTGTGATTAGTATCTCTTTCAATAAGCAGGTATTCTGGAAATCAGTCTATTCATGACTTAGATTTTTGTTTTTCAGTAATCATAATACTTTGAATTATTTCTACATTAAATTACTTTACTTGATATTTTTGTTAGTAGTATAGTATTATTATTAACACAATGATATATTGAACAGAAGTTATCATTGAAATTAGTATCGAAATAATCACTGAACATTTTCCTTTAGTTTTATTATCCAACAGTTTTATTCTTTTTCATATTTTGTAAAATTAAAATAGTCAATATTTTTTTTAATTGGTGATAAGTGATTCCTGTTGCATAATTACAAGTGTTGATTTAGTGAATACCGGTCAATGCTGAAAGAACAAGCAATTGATTAGTGTTACTGCTTGTATTATACCATCGTTGATTGGACCGAATTTATCAGTCTCTGTTAGCCTATCGGCTCTTGCTCGAATGCCTCAGCATTGCCTGTGTTTTAATTATAGTAATGATAGCAATATCAAGGCATTCACACAAGAGCCCATATACCAATAGAGACCGATCAATTTGGTCTAATCAACGACGGTATACTACAAGCAATAACACTAAAACTATACCTGTCTCACAAGAAGCTGATAATATGTTTCGTTGGTGTAGTGGGTAACGCTCTGGCGTTTGAAGCGATCGGTATAGAGTTCAAATCCCGGTGAGAACAACATTACTCACTGGGAGGCAGGTATATCCAGCTGACCAGTGAGCCCCATATAGGACGAATTGTGCATTTCACTGCTACCCACTGTCCATCATTACTATAAGCGACTGGTTGTGTATAAAAGGTTTACAATTTCGACAATAGGAATCGAATGTAGCTGAAAAGCCAGTTTTTTTTCATATAATCATGAATCAAGGTTATTTTGTCAAAATATGTGTACTTATAGGCTTCTATTCATATCTTTGGTCAAGGTAAATACGTTAATAATATTTAGCCTATTTAAATTTGGAAACTAATCAAGTATGAAAACAAAGATTTCATAAAAGTAACGAATGAATATTAATGATGTATAGTGGTTAGCAGTGGAATCCAGGATGTACGTTTCGCCCTACTTAGGACTCATCAGGTAGATGTACCTGCCTCCCAGTGAGTGATGTTGTTCTCACAGAAGTTCAAGCCCTGGAGCTACCTCTTCAAACGCCAGAACATTATCCACTAGGTCACTGAGTCACAATGGCCAGTTCTTGTGTAACGAGTACGGTTTATATGATATTGTTTGCATTATCCTGTCATTGATTGGACTGGACTGATCAGTCTCTATTGGCATATGGGCTCCTCTGAAGATGCCTTGATACTGCCTGTCATTTTAGTTTGGTATTAATGATGAATAGTGGGATCCAGATGCGCCTTCTGTTTCGTATGTAATAAATAAATGTTAAGTTCCCAAAGTACTTTGAATAAAACTCTTGTGGCACAAATATCTGTGCCAGTCAGATCATATGTTTGAAAAACAAATAATTTGAATTAAGAACTAGGCGGTGAGGTAAAGTATAAGTACAAAATTCTTCTATTACAATGTTTAAGTCAATCTGTAATACAGTTTCATTAAAAAGTCACGAAGTATGCGGATCGTATTTAGGCAGGCTGATAAGATGAAAAATACTGCAACCAGCAAGTGATTGTTGACTGTTGTACACTAAAAATCGTACTAATAGTGTTGTGGTGAAAGCTACTCATAGGTACGTATGCAAGTAGTATGTAGTAAAACAAGGAAACTAAAGAGGCGATAACAACTGACTAGTGAAAATTTAGGAGGGAAGAAGACACCGTATCTGGTAGAAATACAATAGGCTAAAACACTGAATAGTCAGAAATTGAACAAGGAGAATGTTTGACAATGTGACTTTAATTAAATATTTATTATCCATATTACTACCAACTGTAGTTTTCCGATTGACAATCTTTGCTACTCTGTTGGACGTTTCTGGGATGAATGTTCCTGCCGTAAGACGATATGACGATACCTTAATCTTCAGTGTCCTAGAATGGTGATAATGGTAGCTTTCTGTCAAGTTTTGAGGCTTTGGTGGAGCTCGTGGAGCCCAAAGACGAAGACACTTGTACTGGAAACTTTAGTAAATGGTCGGATGAGAGCGGAGTATGTTTGCACGGAAAGTATGGTTGAGAAGGCTGTCTGGAAGATTATCATGGAATAGCTGGTGGTGACGTTCTTCAGCCCCGTAAATTGATTTTAGGTAGTCCGGCACTTCGGGAGTACAAAACTGGGATGGGATGGAAACCGTTGGTGGTGGCGCTAAACAGTCTGCTAAGTTGAACTCTTCCCACGTTGAGCGTAGTGTTTCAGGAGGGAGAAGTAAGACGGTTGATGCATCTGTGAATCTTTATCGACCTAGATTACTGGCCCATGTGTTACTTATACCTACTCAACTTCTGCCTCGTCGCATAATGTTGACTGAATTAGGTTCAGGTTAGAAAAGAGCTTTGGACGGCTAGACTAAATCATGGTATCAATGCATGAAGTCCTTGACTGTTCGTCTGCTCAAAGTAAGGTAATGCAGACTAGGTGGTTGAGGCCCACGAGACAGGAGAAACAAGTGGTTGAAGACTCTAGGTGATATGGCTCAGAATCGACGTCAATGCCTCAGCTGTTTGCACACATTATCCTCATCTCAACCACTCTACTTAATCACATCATTTTCTCATTCCTCCTTCTTCGCTTTTACTACCTCTTTTGATCGATTTTTCTTTTTCTTCATCTTCAATTTTATTACCTTATCTACCTGACGTGCTGATATGAAGTGTGGCAACTTGGACCGTTACGTAGTAATATCTGGTCTTATATTGTGCCTGTTCAATAGTTTGTTTCTATCTATATTTCTACCCAATATTGCATGTTCTTCTCCTCTCAGTCGTCATCAGCCGATCGTTATCATTTCTTCCATTTCAACATATTGCGCTTTCTACTGATTATACACCTTCCTATAAGCAACTTTCACCACGATATAACTACCTTTAGTTGAATTCCAAACAGTTTCCATTGTAGATGTAGACAAAAATTTAAACTATTTTTTATTCACATGACAGAAAGTTTTCATGAGAATTAAATCTATGTTGTATATTGTCTAGATGAAGTATTAATGCATATTTAGAATATATAAGATAAAAAAAATCATTCTAATTTTAATATTCTTCTTTCATTATTGTATCTTAGGAAAAATCGAAAATGTTTTCATTGTCATATTTACTGTAGAATGTGTTTTGAAGATTGTTGCCTTTGGTTTTGTTATGCACTCAGGAGCATATTTACGTAATGCATGGAATATACTAGACTTTACTATTGTTATTTTGGGGTAAGTGTTAAAATGTCTTTTATATATTTATTTACTTGTTATGTGTTCAAGGGAAATGGAATATTTGATTGATAGGAAGGATGAATAAATGGCCTGATATATTATTCTTACAAAATACATTTTGAAATCACTTTATCAATTTATTTTAAGGTACTATACGTTGATACATTTACTATATGTGTGCTGTAATCAGATTGCATAGATGCAATCCATTCGACTCCAAGTTACTTTCGTCAACTTTTCACAAGGACAGAATAATTTAATCTATCTGCCTTAAACATTTACGTGGTGGCGAGGCAGTGAAGGAAGATGTGACTTCCTTCAGGTGAACATAGGGAAGACAGATGTGATGAGAATACTCAAGCAAAAACAACAACAACAACAGCAACAAGCACCAATCATTGTCAGTGGGAGAAATGTAAAGGAAGTTGTCTCTTCCACCTACCTACCCATCTACCTAGATATCATCGTTTCCACTACAGGCGGCAGCGGTGGCACAGATGAGAATGTCGGAGCCAGGATCGAAAAGACAGCAGGACAAGATAGGCCTTCCTTCATTGATCTGAAATCAGTGTGGAGATCTGCTGCATCGCACAGCACGGCATGGCACGGCACGGCACTGCACTTCACTTCACTTCACTTCACTGCACTTTACTGCACTGCAATGCAATGCAATGCACTCAGCAGAAAGTGTGAACAACATCCTCATTTTCGACAGAAATATCAAGTTCAGGTCGGTGCTTCTATGTGATGGTTGAGAGAGTTGTCGCGTTACGAAAAGCATTTCCAACAAACTGCACACATGCATCACATCAACAGCTGCAGCCTACACTCACTTGTTACTGAAGATGGAGATCAGATGGATGGCCAGAGTAATAAGAATAAGCAACAAGCAACTCTGGCTGGCTGGTGACAAGCCAACTAGCAACCTATCTCCAAATAAATATGCAGGCGAAAGTGGAGATGGATTGTATTGTATTGGACATACACTGAGAAGACTGTTTGGAGATATCGGGTGTCAGTCTAGGTCGTCGAATGGAAGCCAAATGGGGGACGATGATTTGGGCATCGGAGGGTGACATGTATGAGATGGTGTGTGAGTAAGAAATGAAAGCTTGTGAGCAGTTATGGAGCCAGGTTATGAAGACTGAAGGGAAGAGAGTGAAATCGTGACGTGCTACTGAATTCGTATTTGGCGCTCGGAACGAAAGGGAAAATTACTAATAAGAATGTAAAGAAATAAACGTTTGACTTTTCACGGCTTCGTTGATGTCACTTATTCAGAAAATAAAAGCTGTGGGGGTTTATACATATTTAAACAGTAAATGTGTGCTAACTTGTGCAGGTTTTATTCTCTAAAAAATGTGGTTTTCATGATGTGAAAAGTCAGGAAGTTTACTAAGTGAATTTAGAGTCTTTACTTCATTCCTGAAGGATAGTGACAGTAATTTAACTATTAAAAATGTCCAAGTTCAGATAAGACGTCAGTTGAAGTCAATACAGAGTTCAATTCTGTCACATCTAGTCGACATTTTTCAAGCTATAGACAGGACCGAAGCGTTCAAGATCATCTATCGCATTCTACAAAATCTATCAAATAAAATTCGCACCCGCATCTTGCATATAATTGAGGTTATACGTATTAGAGAAAACAGACTTAGTGTTAGTGTGTAGAGAAAGTTTGTACAGCCTTTATCTCTGTTTTGACCAGAGAAAACCTCATGAATAGTTTCAAAGATAAATTCAGTTTTCACCCTCTTCCCCTTTCTTCTCTCTTTTTACACACATGTTCATTTATACTGGATGATGATTGAAGGTGTAAAGGAAATTTAGACCGAGGTCGGACTCGAACCAGCCAACATCAGGTTTCCAACGCGATGGTCTACCAAATGAGCTTCAAGGTCCGAATGCTGACTAAATTTTGTTTCACTTCAATTACAATGAGTTCTACCTGACTACTATATGAATTCGTGATGCATTACTATACCGCTCGATCGTATTCACACTAGCTGACTAGCCAGAACTCATTACAATTCATATGTAATTGAATTGGAGAGGGGGAGCTTCATATTGATTAACATTCGACTATCTGAGATAGCCGATGTTTACTTGTTTAGCCTTTGATTATCTACACATTTCATCCTTTAGTACTACGTAACTTTTATTTTTCTAAGATTTGATCGACATTATTTGTTAAGTATTTGCAGTACAATGCTGTTCCCATTATTCTTATCATCATTGAGTTAATTATTATCACTCGGTGCCAAGTTTTTTCAAACCATCCAATCCATTGTTAGTTAGGATACCTTCAAAATTATTATCACTGCTATTATTATTATTATTATCTAGATATCTACTATCATCTGTATGCTTCATGTCCTAGTTACGATAAGCTAAAGAATCCATACTATGATTGGTTTGATGTTTTCTATATGAGAAAATTTATGTATATTTTAGCGTAAAGCCTGATGAGAGCTAATTGAAAACTATACTGTTTGCTTATATATCTTCTAACTAAATATTAGGAGGATTATTAGTAGTGATTCCTTCATTGTACTGCAGTGTATAATAAGAATACCTTCTAATTAGTCACCCATGAAAGGTATATAGCTAGCCTGTCACTAGAAACTGATAATTCCTTCATTTCATAGTTGATAAAAAAAATTAGATAACTTTGATTGTATGGTATCTTCCTAGCTGTGGTGCAAACAACCTAGAGGTAAGATTACTGACTGTTTCACTGCCTGATGCTGGTTTAAATGTCACAGGAAACATCATTTCCCCTCAGATCCCAAATATTCTTTCCTGATAAGTGTCAAAAAACCTGGAACTCGAGTCAAACAGAACTTATTCGTTATTACTACTAGACGTTTAACACTATCTCAGAGTTCAATGCAATGCTGACTCTCTTACTTTAGTGACAAAATGATAAATCATGTATAGTAATGATGGGTAGTGGGTAGCAGTAGAATTCAGGATGCGCATTTCGTCCCACTATATATATATATATATATATATATATATATATATATATATATATATATATATATATATATAAAACACATGCAATATCGAGGCATCCGCACAGGAGCCCATATGCTAACAGAGACTGATCAATTCGGTCCACTTAACGACGGTATAGTGCAAGCAATAACACTAAAATGATAAATCGTTAAACTTTTCTCAGTACTCAGGCGTAGACAACATGTAATCGGTTATTCTCTAATGAGGAATCAATGTCCGTTTGAACTCTATTTCAGTCTTCTTAATTACATCCAGTTTATTAGTACACAGCTGGTTATGTTTTGAATTTTAAAGTAGTGTAAAAGGGAACTACTGAAGTCTTTCAGCACTACTAAAAAATAGCAGATTTTTGGTTTTTAGCTACTGAAGATGTCTGTTTAATACACATAATACGCTGACCTATCTGAATTCATTGTGTTGACCGCTTTTTTTATGGTTACATGGACATATAATGGTGATCGGTTATATAGCCTGGTCTCTCAAAATTATATCTCTAATTAAAGTACTTACTGAATGTAATGGACTGTATGAATAACATCAGGATAATTGGTTAACATATACATATCGTCTCTTTAGTTCTTTCTACATTTTATATTGAACATGGTGAATTCATGTATGTATATATGAGATTACGAAAATCTAAACAGTTTCTGATTTTCAGTCTTTTGCAGCCTCTTATTCAACAAATGGTCGAACAGTCTGGTGTAGATGTCAAAGCTCTTCGTGCATTCCGTGTACTAAGACCACTTCGTCTAGTGTCTGGTTTACCAAGTATGTAATTTACACGTTTATTAACTTTTCTCACAATTCTTTCGTATTTACTTTGCTGTTGTGCTAAACATTATACATTTATAATGAAGTTGTCTGTGTTTGTAGATATCTTTTCGAAGTAGTTTTTCTTCGATAAAAAGATTTTTCAGTGAATACAGTTATTTTTCTAATGATGGCGTCATTTTCTGAAGCTGAATTATCATACTTGTAATTTCCTGTTAGTAAACAAGGCTGAATTACTCTACTTCTGTTGATAGCTGATCTCCTATGTGGGTGCATCGGTACTGTCGATTATTTATGATATTATATTGATCTTGGTGACTGGTAGAGGAATCCAGATCACGCGTTTCATGGCTATCGTGTCCCAGTGGCATACTGGATAACGCTCTGATGTTTGATGTGAAGGGTACCGGATTTGAGCCTCAGTGTGGACAACTTAACTCACTGGGGTGCAGGTACATCTAACTGACGAGTCCTAAACAGGATAAACCGCTCATTCTGGATTCTTCTGCTAGTCATTGAGATCGTTATACGCGTAAATAATAACCCACAATATGATGGAAATCGTCGACACACTCAACCACTACACTCACTCTCTACTCTTAGCCACCATGGGGCACCGTTGAAGACCAACCCTGCAGCAACAATTTGCATTTCGGTAGTCAGAAATGCATCTCAAACATTCTCAAATTACCACTCAGTGTTCAGGAGACTCTGTATCTTGTCAGCTGAACTTTGTCATCTGCATATTCTACGTCCAACGAAAATTCTCCTGAGATTAGGTCAACCTCTGTGTAGTCAGGTGACGAGAGGAAGATCTCTATAAGAATATCCATGAAAAATTATATAAGAATGGAGACAATGGACATCATTGATGGACACCACTCAATGAGCATACCTCCCTGGACATCTTACCATAGGCTCTAACACACCCACAAGTGTTCGAGTAGACAGTCTTTGATAAGGTGATGTACTTACTCGGTAGCCCATTCAGTGGGAGACATTGCCATAAGACTTCTCGATCAACGGAGTAGAATGCCACCGCCTTGAGGTAGAGAAATACAGCTAGTGTAGGGCATCAGTAAGCATGTCTATGTTCCAGGACCTGGCGCAGTGTGAATATTTGGTCGATACATCCGCGGCCGAGTCCAAAGCCTCTCTCGTTTTTGGGGGCTTGGTGTTCCCGAGCTCCACTCAGACTTCGGAGGATTATAGAACGTAGGATCTTGGACACTATGTTTATCAGGCTGATTCCTCTTTGTTCATCACAAGAGGACTTCTTGCCTTTCTTGAAGAATGGGATGATCAGTGACTTACAAATCTATTCTATTATTATTTAAAAATATAATTATTATATATTGTGATGAATTGTTACTCTTTTTACTTTGTAGGCTTACAAGTTGTATTGAATTCTATAATGCGTGCTATGGTTCCTCTACTGCATATTGCACTTTTAGTTATCTTTGTTATTATTATATATGCAATAGTTGGTTTAGAGTTATTCTCTGGTAAACTTCACGCTACTTGTTATGATTTTGTAACAGGTGAGTGAAAATTTTACTTCTGCTAAAATATATTATTAAATTCAATCTGATGTAACATTCACTGTCTAGTGACCAATTAAGTTATCTAATGTTGTCTTACTGAAGGTCAACGGGTACTTTAACAACCCATTAGTAAAGTATGTAACTACAGCACTGGGAGATGTCAGTTTGAACATCTGAGGAAACAGCAATTCCACTGAATTCACAAATACATTTTTCTAAAGAGTATGAAAGAGTATTTAATCAATTCTAAACTTGTAGATCACACGATAGACCACAGTTCCATAGCCAAGCTAGTAAGATCAGTCACTTCACAATAGATTCGCTTCATTGAATAGTACACTAACTTGTGCATTATTTCTGGGTTGTATATATTAACCAGCTGAAGTTAGTTTAAGCTTTTCCTATCTACTAAATCTTTCTTTCACAAGATAATTAGTTCCATAGGACAGTATGTAGGAAGCGATATTGAAAAAGAAACTATTCAGAGGATGAATTAGGTTTTAATGAAGCAGATAAGTGACTTTAGTTGACGTCGAACACCTTTTTCATAAGTACACATATAGTCATTGGTTTCTGGTGTAGATAAAGGGTTAGGGTTTACGAGAATATTGATATATTAGTCATGGGATAGCTAATTAACATCTGTGTATTCGAATTTCCCTTCTATGCCTGAAATATGACATATATTCAGTCTAAAAGAAAGTTAATTGGAAATAATGTTGAATTAAATCCATTTTATATAGTTCCTACAGGATTTCTTGAATCATCTAACATGTAAATGTCTTTCGGAATTCATTTCGATATAAAACATGAAACTGTTAACAAAAACCCATCTGCTTATCGTTGCATATCATGCAGCACTGTCAAATTGGCAAGCAAATTAATAAAGATATTGCGAAATTGTTGTAGATTTACTAAAAACATTGTGTTTGACACTAAATTTACAGTAATGATGCAGAGAAACAGAAAAAAAACAATGTAGAACCTCACACATAAGTGTATAGGCTCAAATTGCCACACTTTACAATTGTATACAAAGGACAGGTGGACAGAAAAAGAGTAATACCAAAGAATGCGAAGTTGTGTGAGAAAAAAAGACAATTAGAAGATAATAGTTAGCAAGAATATTCAAGCAGTCTACATCTCCCCATACGACTGAGACCAATAGTAAGAGACTTTGTCGTCCAATGCTCTGTCTTGATTTCAGTACCCTGAAATCTCTTCAAACGTAATCCAACTTCTCCATCAGCATGGCTTGTCGAGGTAGACATTGGATAGATATGCATAAAACCATGTCCAAACAACCTAACACGACGAAGGGTCACAACCTAATCAATCGACTTGCCTGGATTAATAACCCTAAGCCTAAGTCTGAGCATTTTCAAAAGACTAGTACTTTGGGAGAGTGATCAGTATTAGGTAGTTTCCTGCATTGGTTTTTCTTCAGTATGAATTTTGTCATCTATCTGAGTATCGCCTCAGGTATCAATTCTTGCTTTATTTAGTAAATTGAAAAGGAATATGATTCTGTCGCTTTTTATCATTAAATCTGATTACATCAAGTGAATATGCAAGCGGTTTGAACAGCATAAAAGAATTTTTACCATTTACAATTCACTTCATTGTTATTTTGTCTATAATTGTTACAGTTAGTGTTTTTCTTTATTACAATAACAATTCTAAGTCATCCGATATAAGTGTATTGGCTATTGACACTAAAAAATACTCAGGTAACAAATACCTAGTAACTCTCTAAATTATCCTAACAACTGCTGAATTAACCAATCAGGTTTCGATATTTTGGTTAGGAAGGTAATTTCTTATTTATAAAATGTACAAAGCTAATCAGTTACCTCGGCAGTTGCTAGGTAGCCATAAAGGTCACTCTAGGCAATTTATAGTGCATTTGAGGATTTATTGGGATTTAGATATATTTCAAGCTGGTTTTCACCATGGATTGACATCAGTTGGAGAAAAACATTAGAAACCTGGGAGCACTGGACAGCTGTTTCGTCTCGGTATGGGACTCTTCAGCAGCACCCAAGACCTCACTCGCCAGGGATTGAACCTACTACCTTCAGGTTCCGTGGCCAGCGCTTTACCATTGAGCCATTGTGTCGGAACCCACTGGTCCATATTGGTAAACACAGAGCGATTGCAACCCAATGTCATCATTGCGTATTTGTCCTCACGGCCACCAGGTTTGCCCCACTGGTCACGACCTCTCATTGGAACTTCAGGAATAACTTGCTGAAGCTAGTCATCAATGTACACTGATGTCAATCCATGATGAATACCGACTTGAAAAATCTCTAAATTCGCATGAACCCTTGAATTCCATTGAACTAGTGCTTGTTGGCGAGATGTGATTCCCGAAGTGCCAATGAGAAGTCTGACCAGTGGGGCAAGCCTGACGGTCGTGAGGACAAATACTCAACGATGACAATGGGTGGCAGTCACACTATGTCGTGAACTGGCAAAAGTTGGATATATGAACCAGTGGGTTGCGACACAGTGGCTCCATGGTAACGTACTGGCCATGGAACCTGAAGGTCGTGGGTTCGGTCCCTGGAGAACGGGGTCTTGGGTGCCGCTGAAGAGTCCCATACTGAGACGAAACAGCTGTCCAGTGCTCCTAGGCTTTCAATGTTCCTTCAAATGATATTAGTCCATGATGACTGCGAACTTGAAAAATATACAATCAGTTTTGAAAATGCTGCTGTTGAGAAACTTCCTATCTAGTGTGGTCAAAGAATATCAGAAGTTGACCTAGTAACCAAGAAATTGTAGGAGATGATACAAACTAGGAAATGACGTCGTTATCACCCACTATATTTACTACTTTTTGGATTTTGGTTTGAGTATTCATCAAAATAAAATCTACGGAACCATCAGTGAGTTATTTTTATTTCTCAGGTTGGGTTTCTGCACTGTCATACAGCTTAGAAAGTAGTGGAGACCAAGGTAAAGTGAGTGAGTGCGTCATCATTTTCCACCTCTTTAGATATTATACATTACTTGCAGATGGCAGTGAAGTGCTATTTTGATGGGTAGTTGTTTTTACTCATACCAGCTCAGCATTATAGGTAATCTGATTATAACGATTATCGTTGAAGTTATTCATTAATGATACGGCTTTTATTACTGTTTTTCCTATTTAAGGTGAAATTGAAGATAATCCATCCCCGTGTAGTTTAAATCAACGTGGTGCACTGTGTACAGGTTCAACAGTATGTTATGATTTCAAATTGGATATGAGTTATGCAGCTGTTGCTGAAAGAAAGCAATTAGCTGATGCTATTCAAGCCGGTAATATTACACCACCTTTACCACAACCAGAAAGATGGGTTGGACCAAATTATGGTATAACTAATTTTGATAATTTCGGTCTATCTATGCTGACTGTATTTCAGTGTATAACCATGGAAGGCTGGACACAAGTTTTATATTGGGTTGGTTATTTTTATGAAGTTTAATATTGATGACTTTTATTTACATTTGAATAGTTATAAGGATTCTTTTTGATAATAAGCACAATAATTGATCTGTATTTGTTATCATTCCTTTAATTGACTGACAACTATACTCAAAAGTTCAAGTTAGAGGGTTGATACTGATCGAGTAGTATTCTTTTCTAAGCACACCGACCTTAGAGTTCTGTTTAGACCATTATGCATTTCAAACAGTGTTTAAGTGTCACTGCTTCTAAAGAATGACGTCATACACATGAGCATTCACAGCCTGAATTACTTAGTATGAAGGTTACTGATTGCAGCACTGAATGATCTGGTTTTCAGTTTCTCTAGGAAGATTGGTTCTTTCAAGTTTGTAGAAACGCCGTGCTGATGAATACCAAAGGGTACGAAATCCAGATCTGTGTCTGACTGTCTGCATCCATCATTCAACCAAAGAAGCTATGCCCGTCGTACTCACTGAAGACACGAGTCTTACAAAAAGTACAAACCTTAAATGTTCACGTCTGATGAAACTCATCCATCTTTGTCTTACAACATACTTCAAATTCAACAGCAACATATACAAACACATAAAAGGAACTCCAATGGGATAACCGATATCCACACTAATTGCAGAGGCAGTGATGCAGAGAACAGAAGCCATCATCCTACCTGTGATCAAACCAAACATTTGAATTCACTATGTGGACGATACTCAAGTCATCATTAAAAAAAAAACACAATGATTTTAAAAACACTCACAGTTTGATCAACAACGTTTTCGATTACATCAAATTCACAACTGAGAAGGAGTCATATAACCAACCACCATTCCCGGATGCATTAGTCAGTAGAACAAATGCCGGAAAACTCGAAACTCAAGTGTACATGAAGTCAACACACACTGATCAAATCCTCAACTCCAACGGCAACAACTCAACAAGGCACAAAATCAGTTGCCTACAGACTGCATTCAAAAGAGCGAGAACACACTACAGTACAACAACTTCACAGAGAAACAAGGAAATTCACTTCACGTCCATGCTAAATAAGAGTGGCTGCCCACGAAACTTCATCAGAAGATGCCGATCCCCCACAACATCAACTACAAAGTCATCCACAGAAATCAATAAACACATCAACCTACCATACATAAGGAATATGTGAGAAATCACGACAAGATTACTGAGACCACATGGAATTGGTGTGGCGACTCACTAACCAACAAATTCCCTCTCAACACTATTATGCAGACCAAAGGATGCAACAAGCAAAGAATACGAATCGAATATCATTTACATCATCAACTGCAATCACTGTAGTCAACACTCAGTTGGACAGAGTGATCGGCCTCTTCGCCTTCATCTACATCAACACCAATTGCCTATTGAACGTCACACACGACATTTCATCACGCATCGTTCAGTCCATATGGATAACAACTGTGGACATGAATTCATGCAGAAATCTTGGATGAGAGAGAAAACATAAAGAATATGAGGTAATTCCTGGAAGTTTGGCATTCAGGTCAGTTAGTCAGTTAGTCAGCAATGAACAGATGTGTATACATATACTCAATCTGTCAAGCAACAAGAAAAGTGGTAGACAGCTGAAAGGTCAGATGTGAAGTGGAGGAACAGTCAATACGAAAATCGATTCAGTCAATGAAAGAGTAGTGAAAGTGAACAAGTAATGAGAAACCAGTTGGTCATGGCAAGCTAGTGAATTGCTCACGGAGAGGTATTGACAGCTGACTTTATCCTGGAGTAAATGGTGATGACGTTATCTAGCAAGAGGATGAAAGCTGCACGACAAAACAACCTTGCTCAGTGAACACAATTCAACTAAGACCATACACCTTAGCTACAAATATTCTTCTCTACTTGAAGACATCCTCATAAGTAGTTTCCAACACACTTATACTTCAGATTCAATTTGAAGTCATTCACATATACACTGCATGGTAATAATTCAGCTTCTTGACCAAGAAGTATGATATAGGTTTCAATGAGATTTATTTTCCTTTTATTTATTTATAAGATATTGGTTTATTAGTAAAGAATGATTACTGAATATAGGAGAAGGCACAGGCTAGCAGTTTCTCCACTTCTATTGAATCACTCTTCCAACTGCTACCAACATACTGATCTTGTCGGTTACAGTTCAGTCTTCCTAACAACTTCAGTCATTATCCTCCTACATTTGGATAATTAACTGAATAAATCTATTTGTATTAAGTTAATTACCTATTGACTTATTCATCCAAACTACAGTATTGAATTTACATAGCTAACTGATTGCTTTCTTTCATCCCTGTTTATTACATAAAGCTTGATGAGTTCAAAGTATGCAGCGAATATTTAACCTGAATAATAAGCTACAACACCATTATTGTATGAGAAAAGTGATAAATTCATTTATGATTCGTGTACTAGTACACTAGTTAAGTAAGGTATATATTCAGTCTATAAGGGGAAATTAAAATGTTTCTCAATTGTATCATATTGTAATATCTAGGCAATCATTGATTAGTACCAACTAGTCTATGATTTCACATTGAGAATTAATCTTTTTCAAGTTGTTATTCATCGTAGATTGACATCAGTTGGAGGAACAAGGGAAACCTGGGAGCACTGGACAGCTGTTTCGTCCTAGTATGGGACTCTCTAACAGTGCGCACCCACGATCCCACACACCCAGGGCTCGAACCCGCGACCTTCAGGTTCTGTGGCCAGCACGTCACCATTGAGCCACTGGATCAGAATTCAGTACTCCATATTTCCAACTTCTGTTAACTCATGATATAGCTCAACCGCCACCCAATGTCATCGTTGAGTAACTGTCTTCACGACCATCAGGCTTTTCCCCCATGGGTCACGACTTCTCATTGGAACTTCGGGAATACCTCTCGAAGCTAGTCACCAATGAGCACCAGTTCTAGTCCCATACTAGGACGAGACAGCTGTTCAGTGCACCCAGGTTTTCTTTGTTTCCCTCCAACTGATGTCAGTCTCCGATGAATAACAACTTGAAATAATTCCAAATCTTTTTGATTACTTTAAGCATATCAAATATTTAGATATTGTTTTTTGAGTTTTTTTTAAAGTTTTATCTTATTGATTATATTTTCATATTTTTTTCTATTCGATCACAAACTATAAACAATTAAGGTGAATGATTCACAAGGTATGCTATATCCATGGATATATTTCATCAGTATGATAATTATTGGATCATTTTTTGTCATGAATCTTGTACTTGGTGTTTTAAGTGGGTAAGTTTATCAGTATAACCTATAGGAATGTTTATCATTTATCTGAGGTACTTACCATTGTTGCTGGTGAAATGTCTAACAGATTTTAACTAATATTATTCTTGTTTGATTTTATAGTACAGAATAGATCTATATGAGAAGTGATGTATAGAATTTCGTTCTATTTAATGAAAGTTTAGTATACTGATTATTATTTATTATTATTAGTCCCCTGGGTTTCTGATGGAACATAGGGCTTCAGTAGCACGTCTCCAGTGACCTCTGTTCTCTGAGATCTTTTGAACCTGGTTCCACGACAGCCCAGAAGCTCTCATTTCCTCCTCACACGATCTTCTCCATGTCACCCTCGGACATCCAACTCGTCGCTTCCCATCGGGATTCCTTTCGAAGGCCTAACGCCTGATGTCCCCAGTCAGCCTTCTCAGTGCATGCCCAATCCATCTCCATTTCCTCCTGCATATTTGTTGAGTGATAGGTTCTTGGTTGGTTCGTTCCCAGAGCTCCTTGTTGCTTATTCTGACTATTCTGGCCATCTGATCTTCAGCAACGAGCCAGCGTAAGCGGTTGTTGATGAATGTCTTTAGTTTATTGGAAATACCTTTCGTAACGCGCCAAGTCTCTGAACCATACAGAATCACTGACTTGACTGGGTTGGTGTTGAAAATCCAAATCTTGTTCTTTGTGCTGAGTACAGATCTCCACACTGGTTTCAGGCTAATGAACACCTGTCTTGCTTTTCCGATTCTGACTGGTTTTGACATCCTCGTCTGTCCCGCCTGTAGTTGAAACAGTGCTTCCTAGATAGGTGAAGGAGGTTACTTCCTTTAAGTTTCTCTCGTTGATGGTGACTGGAGTTTGTTGTTGTTGTTGATGGTGGTGGTGCGGTATCTTCATCACTTCTGTCTTCTCTATATTCACTTGAAGTCCCGTCTTCGCTGCCTCTTCTATCAATTTGTTAGTTTTCGCCTGTAGATCTTCAAGTTTATGTGACATCAGGCACAAGTCATCGGCGAAATCCAAGTCTTCTAGGTTCTTTTCCGCAGTTCAGTGTATCCCCCTCTTCTCGCTCCCCACTGTTTGCTGCATGATCCAGTCGACCACAATCAGGAATATCATGGGGGATAGTAGGCAACCTTGTTTCACTCCTGTCTTCACTTCACTGCAAAAGCATCACTGAGCTTCCCATTGTGAATTACTTGGCATGTGGCGTCTTCATATAGTTGTCGAATGAGGCGGATAAAGGTTTGCGGTACTCCGAAGTAATGAAGCAGTTTCCAAATTACTTCTCGGTCGACGCTGTCAAAGGCCTTCTCAAAGTCGATGAAGTTGAGGTAGAGAGCTGATTGCCATTCTGTGCTCTGTTCTATGATGATGCGAAGCGTTGCAATTTGGTCAGCACATGATTTGTACTTCCTGAAGCCTGCCTGTTCCGGTCGCAGTTTTGAATCCAGTGCGTCTTTAAGCCTCTCCAGGATGATGCGGCTTAATATTTTACTTGGGGTGGACAGGAGAGTGATTCCGCACCAGTTCTTGCAAACACTGAGGTCTCCCTTCTTTGGGAGTTTGACTAGGTAATCCTACTTCCAATCGCCAGGTACCTTCTCTTCCTTCCACACCTTCTGCAATAGTGGTGTGAGCATGTCTGCTGTTGTCTCTGCATCTGTTCTCAGTGCTTCTGGCGGTATTCCATCTGGTCCTGCTGCTTTCCCTCATTTCAGTAGCTTTATGGCATTCAGGACTTCCATTTTTGTTGGAGGATTTATGTTCACTTGTAGTTCAGCGGCTGCAGGTGGTATTTCTGGACGAAGTGCAGGTGGTGGTGGTGGTCGATTCAAAAACTTTTTGAAGTGATCGGCCCATTGTTTCCTCTGTTTCTCTTCTTTCTCAACTAAATTTCCGTCATCATCTTTTAATGGTTTCATCTGTGTTGAACTCTTCCCAGATAGCAACCTGGTTATTTGATACAATGTTGTCAGGTTTCTGTCTCTCTTACCTGCAGCCTGTTCTGCTTCACCTAGCAGTGTTTTGTAGAAATGTCTTTTGTCTTTGCGTGCACTCTTCTTCACTTCTTTGTCCCGTGAAGTGTTTTATACATTGTGCTAAGTTCCTCTTGTCGTTGATCATCCTTGCACTGGTTTATCTTCTGCTTGACCATCCTCCTCTCCTCTATCAGCTTCCATGTATCCATTGAGATCCATTCCTTATCTTCTTTCTTCTTCCTTCCTAATGCGGCTGTGCAGGTTTACTTCCACATCTCTTTCAAAGAGTTCCAGTGTTCTTCCACACAGGTTTCTTTAGGGATCTTCCTCAATATCTCCTATTTTGTCTTGATGGCTGTCTGTCATGAAGATTTCCTCTGTAGTTTCGTCCTTCAGTTTCCGAGTGTTGTACTTGAACTGTGGTCTATCACCAGCTTCCTTGGAGGCTTTCAACTTGATTTGGAAGGTTCCTTGCACTAGATAGTGAGTGGTGTGAACCTACATCTGCTCCCCTTCTTGACCTTGTGTCAAGTAGACTGCATCTCCATTTTCTTGAGATTGAGATAAAGTCGATTTGATTTTTAGTGTGTCCATCTGGTGAAATCCATGTCGCTTTGTGCATATCCTTGTGCTTGAACACACTGCCTCGCCTTCAATCACCAAATCGTTGAATGCACAGAATTCTGCAAACAATTCTCCATTCTCGTCCATCACCTCACGGAGCGCTTCTCAACCCATGGTTAGTTCTCTTCCTCTGGTGTCTGCTCCCAGTTTGGCATTCATGTCGCCCATTAGAATTTTGATATCGCCAACTGAGGTGGTGTCTTGTCCAGTGTTGATTGCAGTTGTCTGTAGAATTCCTCCTTCTTCTCTTGCTCTGCATTATTTGTAGGTGCGTGGTATAGCATTGTATGATTGTGTCCTTCCTTCCTTTTGAGTTTAATCTTGCTGCCATGATCCTGGAGGAGATTGGTTCCCACTGCATGAGAGCCTTCGATGCTGTTGGGGACATCATGATAGCCACTCGAATACTCAGTGTGCTCCTGGTTGTCGTCTGGGTGACAGTGTCGGAGTAGATTATTGATTCTACAGTTGACAGTTTGGAGAGTCCACTCCCATTCCATCTGCTTTCGCAAATGTCAAGCCCTTCAATGTGATACCTTCTCATCTCTTTTGCAATCTGGGCTGCCTTGCTGGGTTCAAACATCGTACGGACATTCCATGTCCCCACGTTTACTTTTGTTTTCATCGAGAGAAGAGAGGAGACACATCGGCCAATTGGCTTCCCGAAGTCAGGCTTTCACCAACTGGGGTAATTTCGCCTCTCCGATTCCAGCGGGGAATAATTTTGTTTTTATTTTTTATATTTTGTTTGTGCTTTGAAGTTTCTTTAGTGGTTAGATTTGTTTTCCGGGGTAGGGTTGCTAGCCCTACGCCCAACCTTCCCTCTTTACCCGGGCTTAGGACCGGCTAGTAACTAGTGAACTAGTTAACCAGGCGAGGTTCTAGTATACTGAATGAGGTTTTAAAAGTCATTTTTTATAAGAAATAATAATCGGGCAAAAAAATATAGCACTGTCAACTCATGTAAAACAATTTTATGCGATTATACGTTAAGAAGTAATTTTGTCAGGTATGGATCCACAGAAAGAATAAGAGAAAAAGGCACTCACTAACCACATTCAAATTCGTGCAGTCGGCAGTAAATCACACCTATCGTGTGAGAGGTTATAATACTGTCTTTCCTGCTCTGGGCTAGAATCCACTACCTGTCTATGGATAGTTAAGTGCTCAAACCAATGAACCAAGATTCTAGAATCTCTTATGGGAGTTGAAAGATAGTTTTGTAAACCTCGAGGCTTCTATTAGAGATATTAGGTAATATATACTTTATAAAAATCAGTAGATGACCACTGTTCAACATTCTGTTTGTTTCATTGAAACCTTTGCGGATTAACTTGAAATGTTTTCTGGTTATTTCTCATCTTTATTTACGACTCAAGTTCACATGATATGTCTGTATTCTTGAAGCTGGAAATGTTTAAATCACTACTTCGATAACAACCAGACGAATCTACCGTATTCACGAGCATGTTACTGGAAATATTGTCTCTGATTGGTAAACTTCACAAACTTCCAGCTATTGCTGAAGCTTCATGCCCAGAAAATAACGTTTTTCATCTTCTTATAAACAATAATGTTACATTTTGACAGAGAGCTTCAGCCTAACTTTTCTGAAACCTTAATAACTCGATCGTTAGATAGTAGTTTCAATCTGTCGATATTCTCTGTTGTAACTGATATCATCATCCTCATCACCATCATACTCTGTGTTTAAGTCCAAATATCAGTGAGAGCCACTTCGTACTTACTAACACGAGCATGTGTGTATTTTTTAAGATTTTCATCCTCGTAACCATTATTCAACATCTTGGCACCAATATGTCTCCCACAATTCATCAAGTCTTTAAACAAAATGAAGCACTTATGATACTGAGATATTAAATATTAATATATCCAGATATAAATACATCGTGAATGATAATAATCATTATTATTTGCTCCTTGGGTTCCTAGTGGAACATAGGGCTTCAGTAGCACGTCTCCATTACACTCTGTTCTCTGTACTCTTTTGAACCTGGCTCCACGACTACCCACAAGCTCTCATTTCTTCCTCACACGATCTTCTCTATGTCACCGTCGCCACGGATGCCCAACTCTCCATTTCCCATCTGGGTTCCACTCGAGTGCCTGGTGCTAGGTTCAAATGTAGTGCGGACATTCCTTGTCCTCATGCTTACTTTCGCTTTGATCGACAGAAGACACATTGGCCGATTGGCTTCCCGAAGGCTTTCACCAACTGGAGTCATTTCGTCTCCCCGATTCCAGCCAGGGATAAGTTTGTTTTTATTTTTTATATTTTGTCTGTACTTTGAAGTTTCTGTAGCCATTGGATTGGTTAGGGTTGCTAGCCCTATGCCCAACCTTTCCTTTTTACCCGGGCCTGGGACCGGTTAGTAACTAGTGAACTAGTTAACCAAGCGAGGTTTTCATAAATAATAATGATAAATATTTAAGATTTTTTTCTATTACTTTGTTTTATGTTATTGATTGGAATCTTTTCTCAACTAGAGAGTTCTCAAAAGAAAGAGAAAAAGCTAAGAAACGTGGTAAATATCAGAAGGCCAGGGAACAAATGCAGTTTGAAGAAGATGTACAAGGTTATTTAGATTGGATCAGTGCGGCTGAAGATATAAGCGATGATGAAGATACTACAAATAAAGAAGATGAAAAAGAGAAGAGTAATTTGATTTCATTTATGTATTATTTTTCTTCTTTTTTTTGCATAATGAGATGTAACAAATGTTGTTTTTGAAAAAAAACCCTGAACATTAAACTTAAGAATTTACAAATAAATACTTTCTTATGGTAATATGGTTGGTTGTGGCTAGCAGAAAAATCCAGGAAGTGCATTTCGAACAATTCGATCCAATAAAAAACAATGGAGAATTACAAGTTTATCAATTAATAGTAATAACTACTACCCATTGTACAAGAGACGTCTGTCGTTCCCCTGTGGTATAGTGGATAACACCTTGGCATTTGCAGCGATAGGTATGAAGTTCTAGTTCTAGTGGGGACAACATCTCTGCACTGGGGGCCAGGCACGTCCAGCTGAGCAGTTAGTCCCAAATAGGACGAAACGTGTATCCTGGATTTCTCTGCTGGTCACAACCAAACAAATTACCATAATTAACACTCAGGCAATATTTGAGGCAGCCGTATAGGAGCCCATATGCCAACAGACGTCGAACAATTAGATTTGATGAAACAACGGAGAATTACAGGTACATCAATAAATAGTAATAAATACCTTCCTATTTCAAATAGTGTAGAAAATCGTACAATTTACATGGTTTGCATATATTGACCTTCGTAGTTTTCTGTATGGACCGAAGGCATCTTTTCAAATCTCCTCCTTCTTTATTTCGCCTGACACATGAGAAATTTGGTTCTCTTTACCTCTTTCTGCACTTTTACTAAATGTTAACACTGTTAAGTTGCATAATCCTAAGATAAATCTTTTCTAACCCATTGTATGAAACAATAAAGTGTGGAACTGTGACCCATTGCTTCAGGAAGATGATTTCCAACCAATCATTTGAAATGCATTTGAAACTCTGTCCATCTACAAAAGTTTGCGCAACTGGGTGGTGGTATCACCAGCTCTTACACAGTAGATATGTCTTACTACCTAATTCACGAATGTGCACAAGCTTGCTGAACAGGTTTGGGTTTTCACTGTAAAGTCGACTATCGTAAGATATTGACATATCACAACCCAACCTCACTGATGAGTAATTTCAAAGTTTAGAGTAATTACGAAGCGTCTATTAACACTAAATCTTCCTTTAACTTCTCTTTTTGATGTGGATGATTTCCTCATAGAAGTGATATTAGGAATTTTTCATTTCTTTGATGAAGCTCATGAAAGCAGAATACATCATCCAACATTAAATTAAATTTTTTTCAGCCACACTTAGATTTTATCAACAATGACAGAAACTGGATTGGTTATCCAACACGAAGATAAGAGTGTCACACACTCATTGCTTTCTTTTCCTCTGTTTCATTACAATGATGAGTTCTGTTCTCTATTTCTATCTGATGTGCTTTCATTCTATCTAAAGTTTAACTAGCCGGGTATTTTCAAGTTCGAAGGGTAGGAATCATCAAAAGTTAACTTCACTATACTCACCTGTATAGTATTTACGTGAAAGACTTGTTTACAGTATATGAATACAGTATTACCACTAATACACATATCTCCAGTTGATAATAAGAAGGGATTTTATGTGTTGACTGGTCACGGGAGTGCAACCAATTTCATGTTGTCTAGTCCTGAGTGAAGACCGAATCCTATCGATCATATTTGCAATGTGGTAACCAAGCTAGGAAGCTCAGCATCGCCGTGCACATTAGATGTTGGTTGGTAGGAGGCAATCGGCAGGAAGCCCTGAACCTAGGTTTCGTGGTTTTTGGCACTCGTTAGCAAGGCGTATCTGCAGCCTCAACGGAACTGATGTCTCGCCTGAGATTCGAACCCGCGTCACCTAGTGTTGTAGTCAGCGTCTTCACCACTGAGCTATTCGGGCCGCGGTTGACCTCCTGTAGGACTGCCTTGCATGTACTGATTGATCACGGGAGTGTAACCAATTTCATATTATCTAGTCTGCATATTCAATGAAACAAATTAAGCAGTGAGGGAGATTTAATTTGTTCAACATGAAAGCCATTCCATTTTTAATATCTGATAATCAACTTATTATAAAGATGATTATTAGCAAGTGACTAGAAAATAAACCAATTTTCAAAGTCAAAAATTCTGAGTTTCATTTATGGATTTGTTTAGTTAAGTGAACACAATAGCCTTACAAAACAGTTATGAGTTCCAGTGAGCTTATTTTTTTTCCTAACCCAGTCTTTCTCTTGTACAACTGATACAGATTGTGCTGGAAGAAATGAGTCTTAGTGAGTGTATAGTTTGAGTACTTTGATAAATCGAGTACCGTCATTTGGTCACTTTGATGATGACCAGTTTCATCTTGATTACCAATTCACGATTAATAGTACACAATCTGGAATAGGTTGATACATAACTATTACCAACACCATTATTATTCATTCTTGCCTTACTCTGATAATACAATGAAAGATTTGTAAGCATCAGTTCATTCTTACATACTGACATATGAGTTATACACAGATATATCATATTTAAGATGACAGGACAATACACACCTTAGTGCTGGCCGGATTCTATTGATCACAATGCTAGGAGACTGAATGTCATGGTGCACTTCGTTTTTAACTTCCTTCAGATTAGGCTTAAAACTGCTTTAGCGGGTCTGAATAAAGTGATGTTTTGAGTATTTTCAGAAGAATGTTAGCTGACTGATTAAAGTATCAACATGTTATGAATCGGTTGCGAATGAAGTTCAATCGGATGCGTTGTAATCGATCACAGGAATGCATATCATGAGAATTATGAACATATTATCCATCTATATTGTTTATTCTCTCTTTATCTGTATGACTACTTGAGATAGGCATTGTTTAACAAACTCATATTATTGGTATTGGATGGTGACTGAAGATGAAATGGCAGAATGCTAACCAGTGGCCTCCGGATCAACGGCTAGGTGTCCTATGAAACCACGATCCTGATCAGATCATAATTTCAATCTCTTCACACTTTTTAATTTCTCTCCTTCCCTTCCATTCTTGTTTATCTTATCGTTATGTTGTTTTGAGAAGTGTGGTAACTGGAACTATCTGTATTTCACCAGGGATCTATGAGTTACCTGACTGTCTGTCAGAATGTTTCCTTATCATTACATAGGCTTTACACTTCATTTTAAAGAGTACCAGGTAAAGGAATATTTTGTGATTAGTAGTTAAAGTTCAGCCTAATATGATATTATCTCCGTTGTCCAGCGAATAACCTTCTTGTTATACCTTACTTATAACAAAATTGTATTTTATACTGGGTGATGATTAAAGGTGAGATGAAAATTTGGACCGCAGCCGAACTCGGATCAGCGACCCGGTGGTCGATAGTCAACCATCACAGTATAAAATACTAGTCTGTCAAAATACGGCTATCTCAGATAGTCAAGCGATAACAAGGCTGTAATTACTTTCTTCATTTCATCTTTCCTCTTCTTATACATTAATATTTAGCGCTTGACGGTAACTTTTCAGCTGAAGTGGTTGTAGTAATGCTTATTCGCAACCATCTTTTTATCCATAAAAATGTCCAACGTATACATCTCACTTGGTACTGTATTACAGAAAGTCGAGGTGGTTAAGTATGCTATGCGTGTGATGAATAAGCATTTAAACAATTTGCATATCTCTTGGAATACCTATTCATGTGGAAAGAGGCTTCATCTTATTATGATTTTATTATTTATCCCTTGGGTTCCTAGTGGAACATAAGGCTTCTGTAGCACCTCTCTATTCCAGTCTGTTCTGTACAGTCTTCTTAACCTGGCTCAACCACTCCCACAAGCTTTTATTTCTTCCCATGATCTCCTTTATGTCAACCTTGTCTCCGATGCCCAACTCGTCGTTTCCAACGCGGGTTCCACTCAACTACCTGGCCTGGAGCGTAATGTCTCCAAATGGTCTTGCCAGTGTATGCTCAATCCATCTCCACTTCCTCAGGCATATTTCTTGGGTGATAGGTTCTTGGTTGAATCGTTGCCGGGCCAGAGTTTCGTGTTGCTTACTCTTTCTGGCCATCTGAGTTTCAGTAACGAGCCATCGTAGATGGCAGCTGCTGATGAATACCTGTAGTTTGTTGGAAATGTTTTTCGTAACGCGCCAAGTCTCAACCACCACATACAAGCCCTGACTTGACTAAAGTAGATGTTGAAAATCCGAATCTTCTCCACGCTTTATGCTGAGTGCAGTGCAGAAGATCTCCACACTGGTTTCAGGTTAATGAATGCCTGTCTTGCTTTTCCGACTCTGGTTTTAACATAATCTTCTGTGCCTGTGCCGCCACCTGTAGTTGAAACGACGCTGCCTAGGAGGATGGGTGGAAGAGGCTACTTCCTTTAAGTTTCTCACTCTGATAGTGATTGGAGCTTGTTGTTGTTAGTGGTGTTGGTTGGGTATGAACATCACCTCTGTCTTCTCCACGTTCACTTGAAGCCCCGTCTTCGCTGCCTCTTCTGTCAACTTTCTGGTTTTTGCCTGTAGATCTTCGGGTTTGTGCCACAAGACATTAGACACAAGTCATCGGCGAAATCCAAATCTTCTAGGATATTCTCCCCGGTCCAGCGTATCCTCCTCTTCACGCTCCTCACTGTTGTCTGCTGCATGATTCAATCCACTACAATCAGCAATATCATGGGTGGTAGTAGGTGGCAGCCTTGTCTTACTCCTGTGTCCACTTCGCTTGAAAGGCATCACTGAGCTTCTCATTGTGAATTACTTGGCATTTGGCGTCTTCACATAGTTGTTGAATGAAGTTGATAAAGGTTTGTGGTATTCCGTAGTGTTGAAGCAGCTGCTATCAAATAACTTCATGGTCGACGCCTTGTTAACTAGTTCACTAGTTGTCAGTCACTCCTAAGCCCGGTCAAAGAGGAAAGGTTGGGCATAGTGCTAGCAACCCTACCCCGTAAAACCAATCAAACAGCTACAGAAACTTCAAAGCACAGGCTTCACCTTAGTTAGATGAATAACAATAGAAAATTAAACGTTATTTCAGTTATATTCCATTTTATGC